AGCAAACGCAATTTTAACATGCTTTGGTAAAAACAACCATCTGCATCGATAATGATAGAATACAAGATTGCGCCAATCGAGATGAGAGCAACCGGGCGTGACGTCATCAAATACCAAAATGGGAGACCAAGACGAACTCGACAAGATAAAGAGGAATCATCGAACAAAAGGCAGTATTGCCAAGTTTTGAATTTGAAAAAGCACCAAATTTTTATTGGTGTATTTAATGGACTTTATATGCATACATAATTTTATTGTAAGAATGCCGATTCAAATTAATAAAAATCAATGTTTCTTGCAGGGACCGAAAATAATAGTTATTTTAAAAATTTCAATTCAAAAGTCAGTCGAAAAGAATTGGTCTGTTTAACATTTGTATATAGCAATGTGATGCTTGTTAGCCAAGGAATGTTAATCCTATATGATTTAATTTTTTTTTTTACTTTTTTAAAATAAGTCAGCAATTAACTGTTATTTTTTTACTTATATTTTTTCAGTCAAAAGTAAAAGTTAAAACTTGATTTTTTTTTCGGTCAAATATAACAGTTAAAATTTGACTTTTATTTTTTTTCGGTCAAAAATAAAAGTTAAAACTTGACAGTTTACATATTCACAATACAATATGTTTTAATAAATCATGCACATCCTGTCAATTGCAGTTTTCTATGCTCTGTAAATATATGGACTTTTTTTAATTTCAGTTTTAAGTTATTCACCTTTTTACTGGAATGATTCGGAATTCAATTTAACAATTAATATTTATCAAGAACGATAGAATACAAGATTGCGCATTCCCGCAGAATGAAATTTGTGGCAACGGGTAAACAAAGAATATGGCGAAGAACAATGAGTTGACAGTTGTGAATTTGCAGTGAGAAAACGTGTTTTCTTTTCGATTCACTAGATTTCTCAAGCCATCTTTGAATATAGCAAATTAAGCACAACGTTAACAAAAAATATACAACCACTCTTGAAATGTGTTCAAAAGAATAGGTCTTATTAATTACCTATTTAGAATTTTTGTGTTTGTATTGCAGGTGCCGAAAAAGTGATAATATCTTGTCGCAGCGCAGTGGTCGATGCTTGCTTGCCTCCGATTTTAATTTGTAATTGGTATTTCAACGTTGTCAACTTAACATGTCGTGTTTAAAAGTGGTCCGTAAAGTGCTTCATGCATATTACGCTGGTGTGTAAATTGTAGGGCTTCTCCTGCCGGCAGAACTCTACCCACATTCTGGCCAAGGCGTCGTCGCGGGGAAACAAAAAAAAAAACTGTATTTGGGGGCTCTACCCGTACGGCTGCTGCAATTAAACACACGACACGACATTTTTATAAAGTTTTTATTACAAATAAAACGTTTTTTACTTTAGAACGCACGAATTACTTCGATTTTTCACTTGAAAGTACACAATACGTTTGCACTTGTTTATAAACAAAAAGTTTGTTTACGTATTGCCATAAATGTCAAAGTCGGCAAAACCAAAGTAGCGGTTTCGGGAATGTGCCACCTTCAGTTCATTTCACCATGAATATTTATAGATGCCAAGTTCTGCTCCGACAAATTGTATCGCAAATCGCTAAGAATAAGCTTAGTGCTGAGAGCGCGCGTCCTCCACTAACTTGTGTTGCTGGCACTTGATGTATAATACATGCGCGATATCTTTGTCGGGGATATATAAACTTTTTACCCTCCTAGTAATCCATAAAGTCCGTATCAACATCAGTGTGCTTCTCCTTATAGGTGCCTATTTCCATAAATGCTTTTCGAACGTAATCTTCGGACTGAAAAAAATAAAAGTCAAATTTTAACTTTTATATTTGGCCGAAAAAATAAAAGTCAAGTGTTAACTTTTGTTTTTAACCGACAAAATAAAAGTCATATCTTAACTTTTATTGTTGACCGAAAAAATTAAAGTAAATTTGTAACTTTTATTTTTTTAAATACATATCGATGAAAAAAGAACGATTATTTTTTGACTTTTAAAAAAAAAAAAGCATAACCGTTACGGTCCCTGGTTTCTTGCACGATGGTAGATTTCTTTTGGCTGATTGAAGGTGCTGCCACATATCTTGTTGTCGCTTATGATTGTCACTGTGCCATGACTTTGTTTAAGTTTTTGTAAAATTGCTTACCACACTTACGATTGCTATACATTTTGCTTCCATTTTTTTAAGATTTACAAACTTCATGTCTTCACACTACAAACAAAAGCACCAAAAACGCACCAATCACCAAACTCAAACATTTTGGGTTTTGAACAACAGTGAATGTAAACAAAAGTATTGTGTAACGTCAGCGAATGGGTGGATGCTGTCAAATCGACGAAGAGGGGGTTAGCGGTCCGCGAATGGCGCCACCTGCATTTTCTGCATCGTGCAACTGCATAGCAATGCCCTAACTAGTTGGCGAAAACAGCTTTTACAATATTCGGGTTGAGTGGAATGATTAAGATGATTCCACTCATGCAATAAATATTGCAGATCAAACTCCGTTGAGCTGAGGATCAAATTTGTACACATAAATCAATCACCCTCATTGCAAGAGTCGTATCGCATGTAAGTCGTTTTTCGATAGTCGAATCGTATCGAAAATTTCACGTCGTTGCCCAAAATTTCCACTCGACTAGTGTATTAAAACGGAAAAACTTGGCAGCACTGTGAAGCTTTCGACGATTTTCGTCGTTTACTTATTTCAGCAGGACAGTAGGCAATGCCAATGTTGTCGGGTCGTACAATTTAGCCTAATTTACGTCTTGCGCAATGAAGCTGAATGTCGTTGTGGATATGCGTACATCAGAGTGGTGGCGTTTCCTTGATTAGACGTACTTATATCCAAAATATGTTGAGTGGCGGGTAATATCAAAATAGGCACTCTTTGCTGATCACTGCTACGAATTACGTAAATTCGGGTTCTAGAATAAGGGTGGTGGTGATATCCGAAATAGCAGCTATAACTTCTAGCATTTATAAATTAGTACCAGGTTGACCGAGCTTAGCTCGAAGTGCATATATTTTTTAAAGTTTTCAAGGTTTGGGTATCGAATACGGGTTAGGTAGATAGCTTTTGAAAATAATAGTTTGGAAAATAATATGGGGTATAGTCGTTGCGCTGGGTATGCAGTTACAGTTGCATGGCTATACACAATCCCGACTCTTGCGTCCTCGTTCGCGCACTCTGGGTAACGTGAGCAACCCATGTACGAGATGCGGTAACCAATCCGAGTGGAGCCTTGGGTCACGGCAGAAAGAGAGGGAGCTTCGGTGGGGCCATTCCGACTTATTCGGTTTAAGGACTCACTGAAGTCCCAGCAATGCGTTGTGCGCTGGGCTTGGGACCCGCCACGTAAAAACCACTTCCAGTGAAGAAGCAAGGCAAAGCCTCGGATGAGACCCCCCCTTATGATGACGACCACGGCAAACGGTTAAAGGACTACGATTTGAGGGCATGCACCTGGAATGTCCGGACCCTTAATGGGGAAGCTGCTTCTGCCCGGCTGGTTGATGTCCTCGTAAGAACAAAAGCTGACATCACCGCCATCCAAGAAATGCGTCGGACGGAGCAAGGCAAGCAATGTCTGGGGCCTTGCGACGTCTACTACAGGTGCCATGTAAAGGAGCGCAAATTCGGAGTTGGATTTGTGGTGGGAGAGAGAAACCGTCGCCGAGTACTGTCGTTCACCCCGGTGGACGAGCGTCTAGCCACAATCCGCATCAAAGCGAGATTCTTCAACATCTCGCTTATCTGCGCCCATGCCCCGACGGAAGAGAAGGATGAGGTATCCAAGGATCTATTCTATGAGCGCTTGGAGCGCACGTACGAGCGCTGCCCCCGTCATGATATCAAAATCGTGCTTGGCGACTTCAATGCCAGGGTGGGCAAGGAAGTGATCTTTGGGACCACTGTCGGAAAATTCAGCTTCCACGACGAAACGTCCGACAACGGATTGAGGCTGATCGACTTCACCGGGGTAGTATGCAGTACTAAGTTCAAGCATAAAAAGATCCATCAAGCTACGTGGCTGTCTCTGGATCAAAAAACGAGAAACCAAACCGATCATGTTGGGATAGACAGAAGGTACGCTTCCAGAGTTTTAGACGTACGCCCACTCCGAGGCCCAAACATCGACTCAGACCACTATCTTGTTGCAGCCAAGATACGCACCCGCCTCTGTGCAGCAAAAAATGTGCGCCAAATATGCAAGGAAAGCTTAACATCGAAAAGCTGCAATCGCAACAGACAGCCAGCGCCTCTCACACCTGCTCTCAGAGAGCACTCTTCAACAAACCGACATATGCGAGCAGTGGAATCACATTTCCCGCTCATTAAGTACCGCCGTCGAAGAAAGATTTCAGCGAGCCCGAAAGAACAACTGGTACGATGAAGAGTGTCAGGAAGCTGCAGAGAAAAAAGATGCCGCCTACAGGGCCACGCTGCGATCGGGCGCAACGCGCGCTATGTGGGACCGCTATAGGGATCTGAAGAGGGAAGCGAGACGTATTTTCCGCAATAAGAAGAGAGAGGCCGAAATACGTGAGTGCGAAGAGCTTAAAATGCTGGCCGACAGGAAGAATGCCTTCCGACTTACGGAAGGTTTAAAGACCGGGGCGTACTCCTGTAAGAACAATAATGGCGACCTAGTAACTGATATCCAGAGCGTACTTAAATTATGGAGGGAACACTTTCCGCCCTACTAAATGGTAGCAGCACGGAAAGTTGCGGAGAAGAAGAACCCGAAGTCGATGATGACGGAGTCGACGGTTCACCGCCTGACTATGACGAGGTACGTATAGCAATAACGCGGCTGAAAAACAACAAAGCCGCTGGAGCTGACAGCCTGCCAGCTGAGCTATTCAAGTACGGTGGCGAGGAGTTGATAAGATGCATGCATGAACTCTTTCTGTAGAATATGGTCAGATGAACACATGCCCGACGACTGGAATTTAAGTGTGCTCTGCCCAATCCCCAAGAAAGGCGACCCCGTGCCAACTGTAGAAGACGTCGCAAGGCTCCACGCTTACTTTTCCTTACCCCGTCCATCGCATTTCTTGGATGGCGGAGATGTCAGCCTTTGTCTTCCCGAGGACATCAACCAGCCGGGCAGAAGCACCTTCCCCATTAGGGGTCCGGATCAGACATCTGCAGCGGGTGCATGATTTTCGTGTATACTCAATCATCTAACAAAACCCGTTTTGCATCGTTCTCTGTATACGAGCAGAAGTATTGTTCGTTATCGACTGAGCTCAAGACGAACATGTTGGCCACAACACCCGATTGCTTTTCATACATACTTGATTGGGTTCGGGTGCTTTGCAGCTCAATATACCCGGGTGTTCGAGTTTCAACCCGAGTGTGCACAAAATTTTCTTGATTGGCTTATGACGTTTTTGTTTCTACAAAAAATGTTGGCTTCTCATCGCGGTGTTCTTAGTTTTTGTGCGTAGAGGGTAAAGAGAAGGTTGAATTTTTTGGTAGTTTGTTTAAGTGTACATTTAACCATTTCTTATATTTTTGCTCATACAAAATGTGGCATCACGACGCCTACATCCATTTAGGTATAAATGTGTGTAGATCGGCAATGCCCAAGCCCTATACACTCGGTGCACATTTATTTTTTGTAAAAGTACTTATGTACCTACGTAGTTTTAGGCTGTGTTCTAATATATACACACACAGCTTTCCACGCGAAACTATACGAAATAGATGCAAAAACATTTTTGTCTACTTCGCTTCTACTTTTTTCATTGCGTATGCACAAGCACAAAGCAACAACATTTTTGTATGCTTTGTGGGAACATATTGGCGCCAGTTACCTTCAGCGTAAATTTCTTTGTTGTCCTGCATTTTATCGCAATGTTCGGGTGTCCGTTTCATTGTTACACAAATTTTCGGGTTAGCTGCGGGTGTCCGACTGTGGTGTTCGCTTGTGCTCAATTTATAGCGAGGGTGATCGAACAGACTCGTTCGTAACCAAAGCAGCTGTCGGGTATGCATCTCGATCGAACACATAGTAGCCGAGTGTGGCGTTCGCTTGTGCTTGATTTTTAGTGAGTGTGATCAAAAAGGCTCGATCATACTCAAAGCTGTTCTCTGGTCCGGATATTCCAGGTGCATACCCTTAAATCATAGTCCTTTATACGTTTGCCGTGGTCGTCATCAGAAAAAGGGGGTCTCATCCGAGGCTTGTTGGAATTTTTCATTGGGCGGGGTTTTAACGTGGCGGGACCCAAACCCAGCGCACGCGAAGTTTTACGCCTTCTCACTTTAGCTCGCTCCTAAACGGGTGTTTGGTTGCTACCCAGAGGATACGTGGATATAAATATCCGGACGTTGTGAGCGAGTAAAGCTTGAGGACCTGCGTGATGTTGTTTGCGATGAAAAAAGGTTATTATACTAAATGTCAGTGGATGATCCTTCGGAATAATGCATGGGTGGCGCGATTCAAAACTAAGCATAGAGTTTTTTAATCGCCCGCCGACTCTAATAATTCCAAAGTCATCAAGAAATGGTGATAGCGAAACAATGCTGCTCGAACTCGGGACGCAATTATTGGCCTGTAATGCCGTGTACTCCGGCCAAAGTTGCGCTCTTTGTACTAAGCGAATAAGCAGTTGAGTTCCATGGTGAATATCTGCGGCTGTGAGCTGCGAAGAGCTTGGCGATGTTGTAATATTGACAAATTTGCTGACGTACCCAAAAATGCGCTGCATTGTTCCAAATGAATTAATGTACTTGAACGAAAGCGAAATGTCATTGCGGTTATGTGCGGCAAGCAACACCTTTTGTCGAAGTTCTGGAAGTTTTGGTTGTGGTAGACACATGCGCGGCCAGCTGCCCTCCACTTCTCGCAAAAATGACGGGCCGTGCATCCAAAGTGAAGATCCTAGAAGTTCCTGCGCGGTAGCTCCTTTGGATAAAATGTCCGCCGGATTCATTGCTGTCGGAACATAGTGCCACCGCATGCCCTCCGTTAATTGATGTATGGTGGAAATTCGGTTAGCGACAAATACGTTAAATTTCGATGGTTCTTCTCGCAGCCACGAGAGGACAGTGGAGGAATCTGACCAACAATGAAATGAACAGTTAAAAAGCTTCATTTTTGTAAACTCACGCATGAGTAGTGCAAGCAGTGTTGCTGCACAGAGTTCCAGCTTGGGCACGGTGATAGTCTTCAGTGGAGCGACACGGGCCTTCGAACACAACAGGTGCACTTGTACCTTACTATCCTTGGCTGAACGCGTATAAACGCAAGCCCCATAAGCTTCAAGGCTTGCATCGCAAAATGCATGAATTTCTGTAATGGCCCCAGGTTGCAAGACGTAACGAGGAAATGATAGGTGCTGTATGTCTGCAAACCCGCTGCAAAAGGCAGACCAGGCGGTGTTTAACGATTGCGGTAGACTCTCATCCCACTCAAGCTTGTCTCTCCACATGCGTTGCAGAAGAATCTTCGCCTTGGTCAGCGTAGGGCCCATTAGTCCAAGGGGATCGTAACAGCGAGCTAGAGTAGACAACGCAGAGCGTTTTGAGTTTTTACCGAGTTCTCGTTGTGGCACAAACGAAAATAGCAGCTTGTCCTTGACCGGATCCCAAACTAGTCCCAGAGCTTTGGTGATGTCACTGCCATCGTCAAACTTAAGGAAACGTTCCTTGTCTACGTCAGGTATATCACGAAGGATATCTGGACTATTAGAGCACCACTTGCGTAACTTAAAGTTTCCTCGAGCAAGGAGGCTAGTTGTTTGTAGCTTGATATTCAGTACTTCTTCCATCGAATCGCCTTCAGATATCAAGTCATCTACGTAGAAGTCTCGACGCACTATTTCTGCACCAATGGGATAAGTCGAGGATTCGTCAGCTGCGAGTTGGTGCATGGCACGTATGGCCAGAAATGACGCAGGCTTAGTTCCATAAGTCAGCGTGTCTAACTTATAGATGGCAAAGTTTTCCTGAGGAGATTCCCGCCACAATATGCATTGGAGCATGCTATCTGGTGGGGTGACGCGAACACACCTATACATCTTACAGATGTCCCCAGTAAGTGCTATGGGAAAAGTACGAAATCTAATAAGGATATTAAAAAGTTTCGGCTGAATAGTTGGGCCTGCCATGAGTAGGTCGTTCAGCGAAAAGCCCGAAGTAGTGGATGCAGAGCCATCAAAAACCACTCTCAGCTTTGTTGTGCTACTGTCATCCTTGATGACGCAATGATGCGGCAGAAAATACTTGCATTGTTGAAAAACCTCATTGGTAACTAGCGACATGTGATTAAGGTCCAGATATTCCTTTATGAACTTACTATATTCTGTTTTAAGCTCAGGGTTACGAGCGAATTTTCGTTCAAGACTTTCGAAGCGTTGACGAGCTTGCAAATAGGAGTCTCCAAGGGCCTCCACACCACGCTTCATGGGAAGACGAACTGAGTATTCGCCTGATGACAATCGCAAATAATTTTCCCGGAAGTGGGCTTCGCAGTCGATATCTTCTTGGGAGGCCTTAGAGATCGGCTCGAAGTTGTGCTCTATTTCCCAGAACTGACGCACTAAATCTTCCAACCGAGTGGAAATAATATCACTGGAGGACTTCCGTCGCACCACAAAAGATGATAGTTTTGGAGCTTGTTGCCCCCCCTCCAGATAGCACCCAACCGAGGCGTGTTTTCTGAAGGAGTGGTAAACCGTATGCCAAGCGTATCTGCCCCACACATAGCAGATCGAAGAACAATGCTGCTCCAATGAGCAGATCAATTCGCTGCGGTAAGTTGAACCCAGGATCAGCTAGTTGTATATTCGACGGAACATTCCACTCGTTGGTGCTCACGGAGCAGCCAGGTTGGTTGTCGGTTATGGTTTGCACAACAACAGCTGTTATGTTTGTTGAGAAATCTGAAGTCCGCGACTTCAGTACGAGGTCGACTGAGTAACCCTCCGTTGAGAAATTGGCATCTCCAATGCCAGATACTGTAGCAGAAGATTTTGCTTTTACAAGCTGCAATTGGTTTGCAAGGCGAGTTGTGACAAAGTGTAACTGGGAGCCAGAATCTAAAAGCGCCCTGCAAGGCACGAAGCTTCCAGCACGATTTTTTACCAGAACGACGGCAGTAGCTAGGAACACAGCATCAGAAGGAGATACTGGGGCACTAGGCGACACAGATAACGATGCAGTCATAGCGTTGGATTGAACTGTAGCTGCCGACGAAGCTTCGGCTTGACTATTGATTAACGATGCAGTTGAGCGTTCGAAATGCAAGAGCGTGTGGTGTTTCGACTGACAGGCGCGGCACGATCCGGATTTGCAGTCACGAGTTTGATGCCCAGTCTTTAGGCAGTTAAGACAAAGGGAAAGCTTCTTAACTTCCCTCAGGCGTAAGTTCGGAGACAAATTTGCGAAGCGTTGACAGCTATAAATTGCATGCTCGGCAGATCCACAAAACACACAAACACCTTTTGAGCCGTTGGAAGCAACAAAGGATTTCCTCTGACCAGTACTCACGTTCTTGTTAGCTTTTACCGCCTGACCAGTCGGTGTCTGCATAGAATGCTCAACGTTCTCGAGTGTTCTGCAGCGCTTCTCCAAGAACATAGCTAATTGATCCCAGGATGGCAGTTCGCTGATCGATGAACTCTCCTCCCATTTAGCTTGCGTCTTTTTGTCGAGTTTCTGGATCACCAATTGTACGATGATGCCATCTGCGATCTTCCCATTGGATGCGAGCGACTGCAATGCGCGTATGTGTGCTGTGACCTTATCTGTCAGCTCTCGTAGCTTGGTTACGTTTGAATCTGCCCTCTCTAGCCCAAATATCTCCCTGACGTGTGCCTGAAATATAAGACGTTTGTTATCGAAGCGCTTTTGTAAAAGATCTAATGCAGTGTTATAATTAGCGTCGTTTATTTCCAGCGAGCGCACGGTGTCAAGGGCAGCGCCGCTCAGACAGGAACGAAGATGCTGCAATTTGTCGATGTTGGTGAGGTCGCTGTCCTTGTCGATTATTGACGTGAACATTGAATAGAAATTTGTCCACTCGGTGTAGGCGCCACTGAATTTAGGCAGTGTCAGCAATGGCAAGCGTGAGCTATTATCGTTCACAATGATTGATTGGGTCTCACTGGAGTTCATTCTGACCGTGGAGCAATGTTGCGAGGCACTACGTTTACCAATCTCGCGTTGCAGTGTAGCTCTAAGGTTGATTAGAGCAGCATCGAAGTTACTTGGCAGGTCGCTGGCAATGGAGTCGAAGTCCAGTTCCTCTAGGCTTGTGTGTGCGGCAGAAAAACTGGATTTCAATTCGCCTAAGGATTCTAGCATTGCTGAAAGACTGTACTCATCCATACTGTGTAGCTTGTCTGCGTCCAACTCGTTAATCAAGCTCTCCAGTCTGCTGAATATGGCCTTTGTTTTCAGCTTTAGAAAGGCTACTCGATCTGCACCTTCCCCTGGCATGACGAAGTTGCTGACGTTTACACTAGTGTGGCAGAATTATCTCAGTAAGCGGCCGGAAACAAACGAAAAATCGCGTGATACGATCACGTCGGGGTCACCAAATGTTGAGCTACTAAGCCCTTTTAGCAGCTATTAAAATAAAACAAACGATGTATGCATAAGTTAAGCAACTGTATTTAACAAGATTTGGTCCGCGACTAACTAACAGAAAGTTCACCTTGAACTATTTAAGTATGTCCTAATTACATTGGATAACTGCAAATTCATCACCAACAATAGAAAACCAGTTTTCTTAAATGCATGAGAATTTACATATATATATTTATGCACGTATGCACCCGCGCACACAATATTGCTTACATACATATGTACTATTTTTCGCTTGTTTGCATACGAATGTATCCAACTGAGCGCGGGCGGTACGTATGCACATACATATATGTATGTATGTATATACGTATGCTTTATACATAGTATAAAGGGGAAACAAAATTAGCAGAGTTTAAATACATACAAGTAAATATGCAGCTCAATTGAGTATGAAAATTTCAGTGTGATCAGATAACGTTATTCATATTGATTTTGATAAACATATTTTATGTTGCTGGCTTATCCGCTGCTGCTCCGAACACTAGTTTTTTTTAGATTTTTTTGAATTAATGCAAATTGTTTCAATTTTCTTTCACAACCCCAAGTGTGAAACGTGACGTGACGTGGCGTCACGTGACATA